CCCAAACAAACACACTTGCGGCTTGGCACTTGTGCTATACGTAACAAGTCACGCGACGTGACGCTGCGGCTGTGATTGGTTCGGCTCTGCGCTACTTAATTTGGATTGGCTGACCTTTTTTTTTTCTTTTTTCTTTTTTTTTGGAGGACAAGAGCGGCGAAGTCTATCGCGATAGCTTAATTTCTCTATCGAGTAAAAGTTATATCGCGATACATATCGTTATCGTTCTATCGCCCAGCTCTACAATAAAACATTTCAAAACAGATAGGTTAAGGAAAAACAGTATGTCTAACAACAGCTAATAAGTTTTCAACTAACACTTAACAACAGGAGTGTGAGTGTAGGTGTAGCTAGTACCCGCTAGCTACTTGCACAGTGCCGTCACCATCAGCGTTTGTTTTTGAAGTGAACAACATTAACATTTCAGCATGCTGATCAGCGGCTAGAACAGTTCGGTTACTCCCCAGTGCAAAGCGCTTCGTATTCATAAAACTAGCTTTGGCTATCCAAGTCTGGCGGCTAATCAAGCAGACACCAACAGCTTCGCTGTTTCAACAGCTACCACGTTTTCCCTGTCACTACCCGATCCGTACCGGAAACCCGATTGGTACCCTGATTGGTATCCCGCATGCGCAAATCTTACGTCACTTCCTCTCTTTGCCAACATTGCGACATTCAATATATTTGAATGACACGGTTAGCGCCCATTTAGCTCCTAGCATTTCTCAACAGCTCTGCCTCCTTTTTGACTACCGGGACATTTAAACAATGGATAATCCGTATCCACAACAAATTTTTGCTTTTCTCCTCAACAGAGAGCGTCCCCCGATTGAACAACAGCACCGTCAAATAAGAAGAATGGCGCCTAATTACAGAGTTAATAATACTGACTTTGTAATATCTCACGTGAAGATTCAGCAGCCAGATGAAGTGTTTACTGACAATTGACAGTGATAGCGGACGTCATCATCACTATTCCAACAATCCTCTCCTCACAGACAAGCATAAACACACTCGACTATCACTAAATCAGATTTAACACACGTTTGTAATGACGCTAATTCAGTTTACAATAGGGTTCACTAGCTCAGTCAGCAGGTGGCGGTATCCTCGTACACTGGGGAGTAAACTGCCATTAAACGAACAGAAGAAGAAGAAAACCCCTGCACATGCGCGGTACGGATCGGGAGTCCTGATCTGTCACTATCTTTTTACTTTTTTGTTTTTGTCTACATTATATTAAATGTTTCATTATCGGAAACATTTTAAGAGATACTTGTTATTCTTAACATCTTAACAGATACTCTGACCCGTAACGATCGTAAAACGGTTCGACCGGAAGTAGAAACCTTTCGCGCATGCGGGGTACCGATCGGGTTTCTGGTACGGATCGGGTAGTGACATTCCCCACAGGTACAGCTACGGCGAGTGTGGTCTAAGCAGCCTTAGCAGCGCAACCAAACATGAAAACACAAGGTGGGACAAACAATCCAATTGGTTGAACCGCATTTGTATCCAGGTCAAAAAATAACCTTTGACAAACAAAAATAAATAAATAACACAAATAATACAATTCTATACAAAATTTGATTTTTTCTTTAGAGTCTCTCTCCAATTATGAGTGTTTTTAACTAAACAGAATAAAACACCTTTAATAATAATTACAATAAACAGTCTCTAATTGCATCTGTTTGGGCTACAAGAAGCTTCAGAAAAAAGGAACTATAACTCAACTATATATAGGAAGACTGCCATCCCTCTTTTGCCATATATGTAAATATCAGTGTTTTTGACTTTAAAGTTTTAGATAATGTATTATCCACCGACTCACTCTTGACAACATGTCTTTAAAAGTGTTAGTTTTAAATGAAAAGAAACTATGTGGTGTCACCTTTTACTTAATTACTTATTTGATATAACTATGACAGTTTTATGTACTAGATCATTGAAACAACGAAGCATGGTATTAACACAGTTGATGATTGTTTCATTTATTCTTATTTTTTTTATTTATTTAATATCTTATATCAGGTCATTAGATGACAGAGGAATTTGTGTGGGTAAGGGTGAAGGTATCCCTATTCGCAACTACAGAGTATCTCATTTGATCATATCACATCCAATTCAATTTTATTTACACAGCGCCAAATCACAACAACAGTCACCTCAAGGCGCTTTATATTGTAAGGTAGATCCTACAATAGTACACACAGACAAAAACCCAACAATCATATGACCCCCTATGAGCAAGCACTTTGGCGACAGTGGGAAGGAAAAACTCCCTTTTAACAGGAAGAAACCTCCAGCAGAACCAGGCTCAGGGAGGGGCGGGGCAAGTTACAAACTGATGCCAACACAGGTGAACCAAAAGAACCATGGAGGAAATCAAAGAAGCCTGCCGGTGGCAGAATGGGCTCCATCAGCCGATGGTCCAAATGTTTGCACTCAGAAATGAAACTAGGTCCCTTATGTACTCTCTCGCTGATTATAGGGGAATAAAAATCTATCAGACTGTTAATTTTTAAAGAGTTCACTTTGTTGTATTTAGACTCTGTCAAGTCAGCAAAAGGGGCGCCTGAAATGGGATATGTAGGCCTGAACAAACTCCTATTGGAACATACCAATACAGTTAAGAACCTGATCATCTTTGATTGGAAATGATTTGTTCTGGTTGCTGGGTAGATGATAAACAGAGACAGGTAAGAGTCTTCGTGTTTTGGGTTCATATCCAACTGTTTCTATAAACACTGCTGCAATACTACATTTAAAGAAGAAGGAAATACAAAACTAAAGCAAAGCTGGTAGTCTCCCACTTTTGCTACTGCTTCCTACTGCAATATCTTTTTTGTGTAGTTGTGCTCTTTGTTATCCTTTGTGTTTATGCTGATCTGAAATGATTTGTTCTGCTTGCTGGGTAAATGACAGCAGCGTAAGGGACTCCTTGTATTGACCATAATGTGTTTACTGTAATATTTAGGTGCTATTAAAAAGCTGAACATCCAAGGTTGTGCAATGTACTGAATCAATCCATTTGAAAAGAAGAGAGCAGGTAAACAGTGTTTTGGATGGGTGACCAAAATAGTCTGACATTTAGCACAAGTAATGAAATGTTTTCTTGATTCAAAATCTTTGGTAAAAGCAAGAAAGGCTGCACTCTGTGGCTCAGAGGTTGGTCTGTTGTAATGAGTTTTGACCTATGAAATAGTTCTGTGCACTTAGGTTACTATAGTACTACAGTGAATTAAGCACATGTAGTGCATGTGCTCTTGCCATTAAATGGGGTTGTGGAGCTCTCCATTATTCTGTCGCCGACCTTTCTTTGTTGGACTCATGACTGAATCAATACTTGGTCACAAAGGTAACTCACTATATTGGAGCAGATTTTTAGAGATGCAACAAATTATGAGTTTCTACCCAAACACGGACGTTTCTTTTTTCTCTCTGTTACGACCCCCTCTGCGCCGTAAAACTCTCGTCGTTTTTTTGCCTTTATTCATTACAAGACAAAGAAACTGAGTTGGGGTGGCTGTGGCAGAGCAGGTCAGCCACTAATCAGAAGGTCGGTGGTTCGATCCCAGGCTGCCTCCTGACTGCGTGCCAAATATCCTTGGGCAAGATACTAACCCGTGTTTGCCTACTGGTGGTGGTCAGAGGGCCCGGTGGCGCCAGTGTCCGGCAGCCTCGCCTCTGTCAGTGCGCCCCAGAGCAGCTGTGGCTACAACGTAGCTTGCCATCACCAGTGTGCGAATGGGTGAATGACTGAATGTAGTGTGAAGCGCTTTGGGGTCCTTAGGGACTAGAAAAGCGCTATACAAATGCAGACCATTTACCATTTATCTTAAAGTTTTCAGTCTTTCAAACTCTTTTTGCATGGGCACAA